TGATCCGGGCCCCAGGCTGGTTTCAGCAGCTCCTTTGTTTCCGGGGCAGTGGGCGGGCGGGCAGGCATCGAGGTAGCAATCAGCAGCGGGGATGCCCAGCAGTCCCCGGGCTCTGTCATCAGCCCCATTTTACAGGCGGAGAGACTGAGGTCTCAGGCTCCCAGCTGGGAGGGTGGAGAAGCCCAGCTTCCTTGTAGCCCCCAGGAGGAAGCTGGTTAGCAGAGGGAGGGGCCAGCCCTCCCTGGACCCTCAGCCACCACCTCACTGGCCCAGTTACCCCGGACTCGGTGCCACCTGTCATCTCCCTGAGTGTCCTTGAAGGTACAGCGCTGAGGTCTCTTCCTCCAGGCAGCCTTCCTTGAACACACTCAGGCAGAGAGCACCATCTTTTGTGCTTCCGTGAACCACCAGTCAAGGGTCCCTTTTCTGGTCCCCCGGCTGGACCCACCCCTGGCAGGTCTGTCCCCTCCTGGGGCGCTGGAGGGAAGGGATGAAGAGGGAGCCATCTGGGACTTGATATAAACTAGACAATGGCCCCACAGATGTTCGGATCACAGTTCCTGGGATCAGATACCTTCATGGCAAGATGGGCCTGTAGATGTGGTTAAGGGAAGGACACTGAGCTGGGGAGAGGATGCTGGCTAGTCGGGGTGGGCTCACTTCGTCGCAATATTTTTATTTTTTTCTGTTAATCCTCACGCGAGGATATTCCACTGATTTTTAGGGAGAGTGGAAGGGGAAAGGAGAGACAAAGAAACATCGATATGAGAGAGAGAGACGCATTGATTGGTTGCCTCCTGCACACCCCCTGACCAGGGCCAGGGACCTGCAACCAAGGTACCTGCCCTTGACCAGAATCGAACCCAGGACCCTTCAGTCCATGGGAAGACGCTCTATCCACTGAACCACACCAGTCAGGGCTATCACAGTGTAAGTGAAGGAGCAAGGCAGGAGGGTCAGAGAGAGAGACAGATACTACCCTGCAGCCGGGAGGACAGGCATTCGCCCCCGGAGCCCCTGGGAGGAACGGGCCTCTGATCACCTGGACTTCAGTCAGGGGAGACCGATCCTACGGCGTCTGCCTGCAGATCTGCCAGGTCCTGTGTGTTGTTCTCAGGAACTGAGTTGGCGGGAGGATGTGGCAGCCGCCAGAGAAAACGGCACATCGCCAGCCTTGCTCCTGCCTGACAGGCCCCTCCCTGCGGGCTGGGCTCCAGTGACAGGGTCACGCCGGTATGGGACTGGAACTGGTCCGGGAAGACACTCCCTGGGTGCCCTGCTGCTCCCGGCTCCAGGCTTTCCCCCGGGAAGCGGCAGCTCCCATCCACAGGAGCTCCGCCGGCTGCCAGATCAGGGTGGCGGGCGGCCAGCGGGGTGGGCCTGGTGTCCACAGGCATCCTGGGCGGCTCCCTGGTCCCCTGCGAGGCTGTCCCTCCCTACCTACCTGTGTGCCAGCTGCCAAGGACCCACAGTGTCAACAAACCAAACGGGAACCTTCAGCCCCATGGAAGTCACGTTGGAAAACGCTGGGTGCCCACGGCTGGCGTGGCTCAGGGGCTGAGCGTTGACCTATGAACCAGGAGGTCACAGTTCCAGCCCCGGTCAGGGCACATGCGTGGGTTGTGGGCTCGATCCCCAGTGTGGGCCGTGCAGGAGGCAGCCGATCTGTGATTCTCTCTCATCACTGATGTCTCTCTCTCTCTCCCTCTCCCTTCCTCTCTGAAATCAATAAAAATATATTTTATTAACATATTTTATTGATTTTTCACAGAGAGGAAGGGAGAGAGATAGAGAGCCAGAAACATCGATGAGAGAGACACATCGATCAGCTGCCTCCTGCACGCCCCACACTGGGGATGTGCCCGCAACCAAGGTACATGCCTTCGACCGGAATCGAACCCGGGACCCTTCAGTCCGCAGGCTGATGCTCTATCCACTGAGTCAAACCGGCCTCGGCAAAAATATATTTTAAAAAAAGAAAAGGAGAAGCCGGGTGCCCACCCACAACAGGCAGCACCCCAACCCTGGGCCTGGGGTGGGGCAGGTGACTGGAGTTTAGCTGGTGCAGAGGTGGCTGCCATCTACTCTGCTGTGACTAAGCCAGGAAGGCTTCTGAGAGGAGGAGGCCGGGAACCCTAGGGCTGCCCGCCCTGGAGGCGGCTGTCCACAGGGAGGGTCGAGGCTGCACCTCGGGGCCCAACAGGGATGCCAGGAAGGGGCACAGCTGGCCCCGAAGAACGAATGAATGGAGATGGGGTGATCGGGGCTCCGGTGGCCTGGGAGGCCCAGGAACAACCCCCCCAAATCAGGCGGCACTGACCCAGAGGGACACGGCGGCCCCAGACTCTGGAACCCAGCCGCCCCGGCTCAGTGGCTGAGCACCGACCCGTGAACCAGGAGGTTCAGTTCCCGGTCAGGGCACGTGCCCCGGTTGCAGGCTCAATCCCCAGGGCGGGGCCTGCAGGAGGCAGGCGATCAGTGGTTCTCATTGTTGATGTTTCTCTCCCCCTCTCTGAAGTCAATAAAAAAATATATAAAGAAGCCAGGACCCCCGGGGGAAGTTGAGGCCTCCCTCTTGGCAACTCTACTCAGCACCCAGCTGGATGCAGCCACTGGCTGATTCCTGGATGTGCCCTGACCGGGATCGAACCCCCAGCCCTGGCGTATTGCGAGGACTTCTAACCGAGCTCCCCGACCCGGCAGCGCTGTGAGCCCGTCTTGGAGGCTCAGGCCCCGTCTGTCCTCCCAGGCCTGGACCCAGCCAGGGGCGCAGGGCGGCAGCCCAGGACCGGCCCTGACACAGCTGGAGGCACTGGCCCAGCTGCAGGCGGCAGAGAAGACAAACCCCCACCGGACACCTGGGGGGGTCAGCTCTGTGCGCCCAAGTGGGGCGTCTCCAGCAGATAGCACCTGCCCCTGCCCCGCCCCCCGCAGCCTCTGAGGATGGCGGGGGGTGCACTCCGTGGGACCCGTGTCAGGATCAGGGTTGGGGTGCCACAGGGATGAGGACCAGGTAGGCCACTTAGGGCGCCTCCCAGCGGAGTCTTTTATTTTAATCTTCTCCCGAGGATACGTTTCCATTGGTTCTTAGAGAGAGCGGCAGGGAG